CGGGAGGCGCGACGGCCGCCCCGGCGTCTTGGGGAGGGTTGGGCGCGAGGGGGGTCATCGGGGGTGACCCCGGCGGCGGCGGCGGCGGCGGCGGCGGCGGCGGCGGGCTGACGCCTCTGGCTCTTGCGCAGCTGGCTTCCGCTAGCCCTCGCTTCCAGCTCGCTGTGCTCGGCTTGTTGCCGGCGGTCTACGCCGGTGGCGGTGCGGGGGCGGGCGGCCATGTGTCTGCGGGAGGCCAGAAGAAGCAGCAATCGCGACAGCTACCGGCAGCGGCAGCGGCGGCAGCGGCGGCAGCGGCGGCAGCGGCGGCAGCGGCAGCGGTGCCAGAGGCACAGCCGTCCTCGCAGCAGCAGCAGCAGCAGCAGCAGCAGCAGAGAGGCCTACCGTTCTTGCAACCCTCAGCCCCCAACCCCACCCCCCAGGTCTCCATGCTAGGGCAGGCCAGGCAAGAACAAGAACACCGCGCGGCGGAGCCGTCCGCTGTCGGTGCCGGTGGCGAGCAGCAGCAACTCGAGGGTAGTGCCGCCATCGGTGACGTGGCGGCTGAGGCGGCGGCCAGCAACGGCGCCGAAGTGCAGCCCCTCATCCCCCCGTCCATGCTCCTGGCCGCTTTCTCGCAAGACCAAGCCGCCGTCGCGGCTTCAGAGGCGGTGGAAGCCGGCGCCGCGGCCGCTCCCGCGCCCCTGCCCACGGAGGCCGGGGCGGCTGGAACGGGGGCGACGGTGACAACAGCAGCGGCCGCAGGCGGGGGAGGCGAAGTGCCGGTGGAACAGCTTCCCCTCAGGTCCCCATCCCAGGGGCTGAACCTGCTGCTGCTGTCGCAGGAGCTGCAGGAGGCGGCGGGAACGCCGAGGCCTTCCGCGGGGGCGCCGGTGTCTTCGACGAAGACCCCGGCCGAGCGGAGTGGGTCGAGCGAGAACGGGCGGGGGAGGGACGCGGGCTCCAAGCCGGCGGGCCCCAAGCCGGTGAGCCCTAGGCCGGCGGCGGCGGCGGCGGCGGCGGCCCCACGGCCTTCTTCCTCCACCGCCTCCCGATCGTCTTCCTCCGTTGGCGGCGGCGGCGGTGGCGGCAGCAGCAGCAGCGGCGGCAGCGGCAGCGGCAGTAGCATCAGTAGCAACAGCCGGAATGCTGCTGTGAATGCTGCTGTTGTTGCGGGGGGGGGGGGGGGGGGGGCGAAACTTCGGACCTCGGGGGAAAGGGGGCCCAGGGACAGAAACAATGCCGAAGGGGGGGAGGGGAAATGACAAAGGTCCCACCCCCCAATCCGTCCCCCTTTTTCCCCCAGGGAAAAAACCCGGGGAAAAAAAAAGTAAACCACAAAAAAAAATAAACAAGTGGGGCCTTTTAAAAAAACCCAAAAACCCACAGTTTTGCCAACGGCAGGGGACTCCCCCCTTTCCTTTCTTTTTTTTTTTTTTCCCCCTCTCTCTTTTTCTAAGTTTTTTTTCCCCTTTTCGCTTTTTTTTAATGGCTTTTAACCCCGAAGAGGGGAACCTAAAATTTTCCGAGCCTTCCCCCGGGACCCTTTTTTAGCCACGCCAAATTTC